GTTTCCTTCTGTTGGGAGACTATCCCCATAGTTTCCTTCTGGTTTCTGGTTCAAATTGCATGTATTTTTTTCTTGTCAATACTCAAAGACTCCTCATACTTTAATGAGGTTTTTATACTGTCCATGGAGGTGTGTGGGTCTAGCCATAAGACTTTCATTAAGACTTTCCATTGCTTCAGCTTATTTACAAGCATTAGGAGTCATTTGCAAATGAAATGTAAAATGATAGGTGGAACAAGTAATAAGAAACCACAGCTATATAAATTGGTATTTCTCTATCTGCTTGGCATGGAAATTCTCAGTGTTACTGTGTGAGACTGTTTTCCTTTGGGAAGAGGAGCTGTTGAATCTATGATGTGACTCTTATAACTCTTGGTGGTGGCTAGATAAACAATCCTAGAATAGTTGCAGTTGGAAAGGATCTTTAAAAGTCATCTAGTTCAACCCCCCCTGCAACGAGCAGGGACATCTTCAACCAGATCAGGTTGCTCAGAGTCCCGTTCAGCCCGACTTTGTTTCCTGGGATGGGGCAGGCACCAGCTCTCTGGCCCACCCGTGGCAGTGTCTTACCACCCTCACTGTAATGAACATCTTCCTTATGTCTGATCTAAACTGACCCCCCTTCAGTTAAAACCATTACCCCCTGTTCTATTGCAACAGACTCTGCTTAGCTCAAAAAAATACTCCACAAAGCTTATCAGGTCTGGAGGGCTGAGGGCTCAGGCTGAAGAGTCGTCAAATTAGATGAGGAGTCACCAGGATTCCAGCAGAAAATGCCTTCAGTTCCTGAACCATCTGCTAAAGGGCTGAGTTTTCACCAAGTTCCTTGAGATCCGTTATGGAAACAATCTGAAAGATTCTTGACCAAATCTAGGACTCCCAGGAAAAGTAGTTAAAAGATGTACAGTGTGGGAGCAATAGAGTCTTTTTGAGAGGGGAGACCAGGTCAAACACCAGAAAAATAATGACCTGAAGGAACAGATGTTCAGCTGATACTCAAAAGAGTCAGATCCACGGCCTGGCTCCCTTCACAGAGGCCTTTGGCCAAACCTTTCTACACTCATTTCCAGATGAGAATGATGGGACTTTGGCTGTATTTCTTCCACTTCCTTTCCCTGAAGTGGAAGTACAGAAGAAGTACAGAATCAGACAAACAATAAAAAATATAAAAATTACCTTTCCTGATAAACTGAACACCCCAACAAAACAAGTATCTTGCTCTGCTTCAATCTTCTCCTTCTTTAGCCTGCGGGAATTGTTTCAGGTCATGATTCAGCTGGGCCAGGTGGGCAGTAAAAATTAGCGCTAGGGACGTGTTTCTCAGTAAATGCATTCTTGCTTTTATATCTGACAATTAGTGTAAGGGGGAATGATTACTACAAAAGCTCTTCTCAAAACATGGATAGTTGGGTAGATAGGTAGGTGAGTAGGTGGATAGGTAGGCAGATAGATGGACAGGCAGATGAACAGACAGACATTAGAGCTGTTGTTTGTTATGTCTCAAAAAATATTACTTACAAATTTAATATAATTTTATATTAATCCTATGAAGCTTGCCCAGTAGAAAATTTAAAAAATTAATATATATATATGCTAATTGTATATATAATCAAGACAGAGATCCAATGGCTACATCTAAAAGGAAAAAGTATAAAAATCATACAGTAACATCTCAGATGGGCTGAATTATTTAAATACTTTATCCACTTTGTTTTCCCAAGTCATTGGTTCTTATTCATACCCTCCTCAAAATTCATTAATCTGACACCACTGAAGGCAATGGAGTCTACTGAACTCTTCATGGGGAAAACCTGTCATTAATGACTGACCCAACACACGACTCAAAATTATTTCTGATTTAATTCTGTTTAGTCAGTCAGATACTTTTCCAATAGATTTGCTTTAGTGGACCTAAGATTCCTTTTGCAAATAATTTTTGTGGTCCCGAAACTGCATTGGTCAATCAGTAACATTTTTATTCCACTGAAAAATAAATTAGAAGTAAAATGTTCCCACTTACCATTTAAGTTAAAACGTGACATCATGTGTGCAATTTTAAATGAGACACAAAATGAGCAGGTAAAAGCTGAGTGCATCAACAGCATATTCATGTGCTTTAACAGGCACCAGAAGAGTTGTCCATGCATACAGGCAAACTTAAATGTGAAACAGACAGCTGCAGGGTATCACAAAGAAAATATTCCTCACCACGTTCTTTTTGTCCTTCATAAGACCATTCTAAGGCCCCACACCTTTGATCTGGTGAGGGGAATTAATGCCAGATACAGCTATGAGTGCTTACTGAAGTCATGACAAATTAATTCCCTGTTAGAGGCAATGAAGTTGATTTTCAACGTCCCAGCCTGTGAAGCAAGATCGGTCACTTGAGAGAGCAGCGATGGTAGCAGTAAAATCAGTAGCATGTGACAAAGAGGGTGCATTGAAGCAACGACAGCATATAAAATGGATTGTTGGAATCAAAAAAGGCTCAAATGTGCTTTGGATTTCATGGCTCTGTAGGAATGTACAAGGAATGGGAACAAATTCCTTGCTCCAAGTTACTGTTCTCTTGGAGTTTCTGTGCACACACTCCCACATGCACAAGGATGTTGTCCAAGATGAAGATAATTGCAAATGGTCATGTGAATTAGGGGCTGATTGTTTTAACGAAGACAGACCCTTTTTAGCCATCTTGCCACTTTCACAGTCGTTTGCACTGCAATAACCAAAATGGAAGGATATAAATTTTGCATCTGGCCTCTGATGACTGTAAATAACCAGAGTCTCTGATAAAATAAAGCAGAGTCACTGGTCATGCCAACAAAACATTGCAGTTCCCCTTTGAGCCTTGTAGTATCTGTTCCTTAACACAAATGGACTTGCTGCTGCTGGCAACCAACACATTGGAAGTGGTTAACACAAACAGATTGAGAAACCAGTAATTTGCCCCACCAAAATAGCAGGAAATATATAATCCACTCTCCGGGCTCTCATATCCTCAGTATATATGTATTTTGTCTGAAACTGCTGGAAGACTTAATTTAAACCACATCTTGTTATTTTTTTAGTAGCTCGGGAAAGGGAAAGCAAGTAAAAAATGTTGGGGAGAAAACATCTGTAAGCCATACCAACAAAAAGGTCTGACCTAGCTCTGTCCAGGATCTCGGGATTAGTTTTCCTTACTCCCTAGGAGCAAACTGTAATCCAACATCAAGCACTGAAGAATGTCTGTAGGATGTTCCCTGAGAAAACTCCTGACAACTAGTTCATCTGTAATAAGAAGCGAAAAGGGACATTTTTCTCTATTACCAATTTTACTTGCTGGTACTATCCTTCTCTCCCATATAAAAGTGATACAGAATATTACAAAATAAAAATTCCAAATAAATAAATGTACCTTGGTTCTCTGGTGCTGTTCTAGCTATGCTTAATGAAATATTACTTTACTTGTTGTTAATTGGTAATTTACTCCTAATTTTCTGCATCACATGCAATTTTACATGCAACAGAAGCATGGCACAAAGGCAAGACCTACTTGAATCAGACTGAATGAAGCACTTGATATTCCTCACTCCAGGATATGACAATATAGAATCATAGAATCATTTTGGTTGGAAAAGACCCTTAAGATCAAGTCCAACGATAAAGTGAAAACCCAAGTGCAAATCCAATCTTTTAAACCTTATGGCTTTTTATTTAAACCTTCCCTCCTTCAGGGAGGGAAAACGCTTTACTTTCAGAGGCACAGGACAAATGCTTATGCCAAGCATGATATCCTGACAGCAAAACATTGAAGGAAATGTCTGGCTAAAAGTGGGGTATAATAGGAGTCTGGGATGTCTTCTGTTTAACCAGTGGGCAAAGTGAAGGAGAGCCACGTGAGGTTTGCTAAACCGGGGAAGAGGAGGAGGGGCCAGTCAATATGTGCAAGAGCAGGCTGCCATCCACAGGGACAAGAACATCCACAGGGAGAATAAGTTAAAAAAAAATCCCATCAAATTCAGCAAGGATGAAAGGCCAGAATGAGAGCAGAGATTATCAGTTCCAGCTCAGCACTTGTCAGACCAAAAATGGGTCCTCTATCCAGGGACCTGCATCCAGGTCCTGAACCATAAGTCAGCCCAGACACTGGGAAAACAGAACAAGTTCAGAGGAGGCCACCAAGACAATGGGGCTAGAGCACTCACCCTGCGAGGTGAGGCTGTAGGTCCAGGCCTGGTTCAGTCTGGAGTCAAGACAGCTGCAGGACATCTGAAAGCACCTTGAGGCCATAGGGATGGGATCAAGAGGCAGAGGCCAGGCTCTTCAGGCAGGTGGCAGGAGATGATGCTGGCACCATCAGCTGAAACTAGAGAGGTTTGGGTTGGAGGTAAGGAAAAGGTTTTTCCCTACAAGGACAAGGCAGTGGAGTGAGGGCTCAGAGAGGCTGTGCTATGTTGGAGGATTTCAAGCCTCAACAGCCTAAAGTCCCAGGCAGTGTGGTCTGTCCAGATGAACATCTCTGCTTGGAGCAGGAGGCAGATCTTCTGATTTGCCTTCTAGGCTGAATTATTCCTGAATTCTAAGGAAAGAAAAGGGAAAGGAAGGGGAGGAGAGGGATAACCCAGACTGTGTTATTGTGTGGTGGTATGCTGTCCACTCGTGTGCATTACAGGCCATTCCATATCCTTATTTACCATCGTGGCAGGCTGCTGCTTCATAACCTTTGCCTTGGCAACACCGTCTGACATGAGATATTCCCGGTGACGATATTCCCAGTTTACAGACAGCCTCAGGGAGAAAACGGGATTAGAAAACCCATGGGTCAAAGTAAAGTCATGGAGACCCCATGGGTTTGCGGGACGGCGGCAGTGGGGGCTGAGGGACGGCGGCAGAGGGGCCTGAATGATGACGGCAGAGAGGTCTGAACGATGGCGGCAGCGGAGTCTGGGGACGGCGGGCGGAGCGCAGCGCCCCCCTGTGGCCTCGCGCCGGGGGGCGGGGCCGGGGCGGCCCGCGCGCCTCGGCCGTTGGCGCTGTGGCGTTGCGGGGCCGCGCGCGCCCCCGTGTGTCGCGACTGTCGCCGACGGCGGGCGATGGAGGAGCCGCCCCCGCCGCCGCCGCCCCCGCCCGCCGCCGCCAGCCC